ATATATAAAACTTTGAATTCCCTAGGCATCAACAATCAAAAAGCCTAGCTTAGATTTTCAGCTCTCTTGCCTGAAATAGCCTGCAGGGCTATTGCAAAGGTACATTTCTCAGCTCAGTAATAACTTTCTGATCTCTTTGGGCCTGGAATTCTCAGAGGGCACAGCTAAGAACTGCCGTGAGTGGCTTCGGAAGTCCCAGCAGAACTCAGGTCAAATGGTCAGGACCGAATGTTTACCACCCAGGGCTGTGGCTCCAGAAAGATAGGCAGGAGGAAATAGGGTGTCAGGGCAACTCAGCAATGCCAGACCCGAGGTGTTCAAGGTAAGTTTGCAGGACAATGGAGGAACTGGACAGTTAGATGGAGTGTGTTGCAAGACAGGCTGCAAGAAGCCTGGGGGTCTTGGGAGGTTAGGTATATTAAGCAGAATTTTAACTTCCTGTATTTCAACTTGTGGTGGCCTTACTGAGAACAATTGCCTTCTAAGTTGATGAACATCTGTATTGCCACCAGTCTGTCTGTCATCCCCGGCGCATTTATATTGCTTTTCACTGTTTGATAAACAAAGACACATATCTTCAAAGTTAATTCTCACTACATTCAAGATAGTGTCCTTTTCGGAACTCCTAGAAGAATTGCTGAGTCAGAGAGTACCCAGACTTAGAAAGCTTTTGAAACTGATTTCTGGGTTGATTCGGCTTCATTCGAGAACCCTGAAGACACAACAAGCTGACATCCAAGGAATGCTGAACAGAATGTAGCTGAGGCTAGCTTACCTGAATGGGAGCAGATCAGATGGACCCAGCCTTCGAACGCGAAGGGCTCTGCGCTCATCTGTCTGATGTGATCTAAGTCAGGCCTGGAAGTAGCAGCCAATATCACCACAAAAGGCTCTCCCTGCAGATCAAGACCATTAGCAATTGTTTACAACAATTTTATCTGAGGGACTGGACTCTTAACCCCTCAGGGGGTTAATTAAGAGCACTTGCTGCTCTTACAGTTGACCCAAATTCAGTTCCCACCACACACGCTGAATGGTTCTCTGCCACCTGCAACTCCAGCTCCAGAGGATCTGATAGCTCCCTTCTGGCCCCTGTGGGCACCCACAACTGTGTGACATGCATGCGCATACACGTAGCTAAAAATAATAAAAACAAATGTTTTTAAGACTCCTATCTAAGCTCTAAAATGCCAGCATTTAGCAGCAAAGGGATTGGCTTTGAAGCCAGAGGGACTTCAAATCCACCAGTGACTGTTAAACCTCTGGGCCTGGGTTTCTTCATATCTAAAATCAGAAAGACAGAACAGCCAACCCCTATGAAGTCGCACTGGAGAGGAGCTTGCATTATTTCCACAAACACGTTACACCAGCCCTAGTGAGTGCTAAAGTGCCAAGGACACTGTTGACTGTATCTGTTGCCTAGTTGCTTTTAGACATCGCCAAAGGAAGATCTGCTTGGGTTCTCATCCCACATTATCAACAAGCTGTTCTGGCTAGTAGTTGAAAGCATCGGGAATGCCTATTAGACCATCTCAACCCAGTTCCTAACCACAGTCCCCAGACCCCTATAGCCAGCATGAGTAAGAGGCCTTTTCTAACCCCTTTCTGATCAGGGTGCTGGCCAGAGGGTCCAAGACTTTTCCTTGTTCTGGGTAGGGATAGTTACCATAGCAACCCACCAGTTGATGAAACCAGGAATGGTACTATTTACACTAAGCAAATGGGAAATATATTACTGATCTTGGCTTAAGAGGCATCATTGTGTTAGAAACCCATTACACTGGACACCACAGAAGCAGAGCGCTACTTTCAACACGTCCTTTCCGAGACAATTATCCAAGGACATTTCAAGGCTGCCTCTCTCTGTGTTCCTGAGATGCCCTGGGCCCCTCCCAGTCTCTCAGCCACCCTGCCCTGACTTCTAGGCCATGAAAGCCAAGGAAACTGTGTTTACACAAGAAATCCACTCCAAAATAGGCTGAGCCAGACAAAGCCATGCCCAGGAGCCTTATGAAGGCCTGAACTTGGCAACCTGTTGTATTGGTATCTTAAGAGCCACTGTCGTGGGGCATGTCTCTCGTTTTATCATCTTATACACGTTACCACCCTCATTTCACAGCTGAATAGACAGAGAGTTACAGAGACTTGGTGAGCTCAAGAAAACAAGACTATCACCAGAGGGTCTCCGAGGGGGCAGGGCAGGAACTCCAATACAGCCCATCCAAACTAAGAACTCCATTATTTCTAACTATGAGGAGTTTCCATTAAGAAATGCAGTATCTACTCTTCTGACCCAGGAGGAAGACCCTGAGTGGACAGGCCACAGTAAAGATGATTCTTGATTAAGGATCTAGAAAGTAGACCTCTGGTTTAGGTTAGTGAGCTTTTAAATTCGTACTCCATGGCACCAGGGTGTGGCACTTCAGGGAGGGGACAGATCTGGATGCAGGCTGGACATATGCAGCAACTGCTATGTAGGGGTATGCATCTGTGTGAAGATGGAGAGGCCCCAGAGACGGGCGCTTGTGACCCGTCCCACAGTGCTGCTGATAGTTGACACTCTCCCCTCCTCCTCCCCGCTCTGCCAGCTTCCCTTGTTCCACCCCAGGATTTGAGATCCATGGTGCTGCTTGAGTAGAAATAAAATGGCCCAAAGGCCAGGATTGTGACCACGAGGGATTCTTTTACCATTCTCTACCAAGTGATAAAGCAGGAATTTGGTTTCCAGTCCGCTGATGTTCCACCACGACGTTCATTAGCTTCTCAGGAACCCTACTAAGAAGGAAAGGGGGGGGTGTTAATATGCGTGGGTGTAATGAGCTTTTCCGCTCAGTTACCATATATGTTTCAACAAAGACTTTCCATGTTTAAGCACAAGGTGAAGAAAAGCCCACATTTGAAGCCATAAACTTCAATTTACCCCAAGCAGGAAGGGAACCGCACAATCTGCAGATTAAATACATATTTTATTCCACAACACGGCTTTCTTTCCCTCCTAAAGTCAGCCTTGCATCCCAACTATAATACGCTCAATAAGAATTTGTGGAATGTAAAAGCACCATGCTAGGGTTCCCAGGTGAGAAACAACAGGAGGAAAGAGTACATGTACCACAAGATGATTCCAAACAAACCAGCGTGCATGAGGAAAAGAATATACAGCTACCCTTAGATAAATCAGGAGTGGTTTGAAGG